CCAAACTGCAAACGTGGAATCAGCAGATAACTCCTCAGATGGAAATGTGGGAGCTTTGTGGCATCTGTCTGTAGCTTTACAAGGATAAGCTTGCTCATGGAGGCTGAGGAGGTGAATGTGGAAGGACACCTGGGTCACTCTGCATTGATGCTGGTGGAACAGAGGGGTTCTGTCACTGGGCCCAGAGGATTTCAGATTGCTGGGTTTGCAGCAGCGATCAGGGCTACACTCAGGCAAAATTCCAGCCCTGGGATTTACTACATCCTTGTGCTGCTCTGCCTTGGGTGCCATCTACATTAATTCAAACCCTGTTTTCTGTCCTGCATGACAGATTGCAGGAGCAGTTTCCCTTGGGTTTTCAGTCACTGTGTGTCCAAACAGCGTCTCCAGATTTTTGGGTGATGAGTTCAAAATAATCCAAGCCTAATTCCAGTGATTCATTTTGTGGTTATTCAACATGAAATGCCCTCAGGTGTCAGATTTCCAGAGGGGTTAAACACTCACAACTCAAACGATTCAGTAGCTCTAAAATACTGTTACAAAACCATGGGAAGATCATATTTAACCTAGAGAAATTCAGCAAGACATTTCTGAGCTAACTACCCATCATCCCTTCTAATAAAGGAAGAATCTGTCAGACCAACTTCAACCAAGTGTATTACCCAACTTCACAGGGAACTGAAACATTGGTCACAATGTGGGGAAAAAATGGGGAGCATTTAGAGGTTAAGCTGATTTTCAGTGCGTCTGTTCAGATTTTCTTTCCCCTGATTGTTAACTGAAGAGCACTTCAGCACTGTACAGCAGTGTCTTAATTCACTTAACTCTGTTTTCTCATAGGATAGAAATTAACCCAAACATAACTTTAAATATTCCAAAAATAACATAGTTACCATGATATCAGCCACTCACTGTTTTATTGGCTTCTGTGTTACCTCTGTGTCCGACCAGAGCTTGCTTCCCACTGTGTCCAGTTCTGTGCCCTGGTTTCCAGCCATACATACTTCTATTCTCTGCATGGCTGCATTTTTTTCACTAATTCTGGCTGTTCTGAGGCTTCAGGTGCCTTCAGTCCCCTCATTTCAGCAACTGAGGAATTATTTTGGGCATGATTCCAGAGAGCAGTCAAAAAATACTTGAATTCCCTGTCCTTAAGGTAGTCAGGGCTAATATGAGATTTTCTTATGGGAAAAGTAAGCATAGCTGGTAAAATGCATAGAAGTAAAATTTAATTTGATTTCTTGTCATCTCCATATATCATACTTCCCTTTTCTCTTGCTGCTTCACTCCCACCTATTCTCATAATCTGCAAATTACTTTAGTCTGAGATATTTCCTGTGTGTTAACTGCATTGCATTGGCTGCCAATTCAGTTTTCTGTTTCTGCACTTGCATTTGTATTTAGGAAACATGATGAAAATTAATATCATAATTACACCATTCAAGCAAATCATATGAATTAGATCTGTGTGTAGCCAGCCAAAAATATCTGTGGTTGTCATCGGAGTGTGCATCTTTCCCTCCCAGCAGCATCATCAGGCAGTGCTGTGCTTTAAGGGCAGCCGGCAGCTGAGAACCAGAGTGCCCCATCCCAGACGGAACCTGGGCAAGCAGAGGGAAGAACTGCTCCCTGTGTTACTCCATGGGCAGGGACTGCGCAAAGGAAGAACAAAAACCAAACTCCTTTCCTTTGTAAGCACCACCTTTTAACTTGCTCCCAAAATATTTATTCTGATTTCCTCAAAGGCCTTGCAGAACTGTGGCACTGTTCATCCTGAACAAGCTTCTAACCAAACAAGGCACTAAAGCCACGCACCTTTTGTACCTGCCCGGCTGCAATGTCCTTTTTACCCAAACCTGAGTATTTGTGTGCTCCAGCCCCAGAGCAGGGCAGCTCCTGCTCCCTCAGGGTCCGTGTGGCGCTGCTGTGTTTCCTGCCCTGTGCTCTCTGCTCAGCCCAGCTCTCCCTGGCAGCTCCCCACGCTCACCCACCCAGGAGGCAGCAGGAGCCCCTTGGCTGTGCCGTAGAACGAGCTGCAGGGAAATTCATGGAACCCTGCTGGAACCTTCCCCAGAGCAGCTGCTTGTTATCAAACGGAACCCTGCGTAACCCACCCAGGCCATTCATCACTCCCAGCTCCAGGGTCAGACCTGCTAACGGCCTGGGCAGCTGCTGTGAGAGGTCTCACATCATTTCCTGTCAGATTTGTCTCCAAAGCACAGCCAGGGTGCCTGAGAGATCAGCTGCTCGTCCCACACACCTCTGTAACTGCAGAAACTCTGGACTGTGTGCTTCTTTAAATTCAATGAGACAATGTAGCTGCTTTATTGCAGAATATCAGGGAAAATCAACCGGGTGAAATTTGAATTATTGCTTGTGCTGGGATCTGAGCAGATTTCTGTCCAGGCTATTTTCACATTCCCATTTAGTCTGGACTCGGACTTAATTGCTGGAGCACAGACCTCTTTTATTTCAGAGGGGCCTGCTTGCATTTTTTAAAGTCTAAAGTCTATGATGAGTTAAGACAAATCATAACTAACCTTTCTTCCAGGGAAGTAAACAACAACTTCATTGAATTTGATGCCATGCTAGTTACATTATTAAAATAATGTCAGACTGTAAAAAGCAATGTCCATGTGGTGGAGGTTAGGATTTTTCCTTTGTCATTGCACAACTGACAAAGAAAGTAGAAGTGACAATTTTGTGACTCAGTTAAAAACTGAATCTGTCACTTGTGGAGTAATAATTGGAGAAGAATTAAAATTTCTAGCTAAGAAAGCTCCTGTGTGTCTGCAGAAACCCACTAGAGGAAGCTGTGACACTTTCACCGCCAGAACAGAAAAGATGGCATTAATGCTTCCATAGAATCAACCAGCACCCCTCAGAAGGGAAGGAATCAAAGCCAGCTGCTGCAGTGTGCTCCTGCAGATACTTCATGCTCAATACTCATGCTGCACACAACTTTTTGTGCCACTCCAAGACCTTTTGAAGTTACTCACATTCTGCCATTAGCTTCAAAGGGAAACAAGATTTGCCTAGCAAAACAATCAAGAGCTGCAACTATTTACTGGCAAATTAATTCAGGGCAGCTTTGGTTGCAACAGCTACAGAATTTAGCAAGATGATTGAACTGTGTCAGTGCTGTGTTCTGCAAAGGGCCAAATTCACACACTTCAAACACAAAGGATAATGAACCCCCAACCCATCAGAATCACAGATGGCTGAATGGGTTGGGTTGGAGCAGCTTTAACAGTTCATCTGTTGGGAGGAGAGGGGAGGTGCTGAGGAGGTTGTTGGGTGCATGTTGGGAGTGGACCCCTTCCACTGCCCCAGGTTGTTCTGAACCCATCCAACCTCCCTTAAACCCTTCCAGGGATCCAGGGGCAGCCACAGCTGCTCTGGGCACCTGTGCCAGGGCTGCCCACCCTCACAGGCAGGAATTCCTTCCCAATATCCCACCCAAACCCCCTCCTGTCAGTGTGAAGCCATTGCCCTTGTCCTTCACCCCAGGCCCCTGTGAATGGTCCCTCCCTCCTTTGCTGTAGGCTCTCTTTGCAGCCCAGGACACCATTTTCAGTAACATGCTGTACAGAACAGATTCCTCTGAGGCGAATGGGGCTGGGACACCTTTTGTACATCCAGCTTGCACACTTACCTCATGCACATACATTAAGACAGCGAATTTTATAAAGATATTTATTGTGCAAGAATGATCTTCATGCTCATTTACAATGAAATAATTAGTTTTAACAAATAATCGTGCCATTGCTTAATTTCAACTCTAAACAGAATATTTACATTCAAGTTTACATCTTTGTTCAAGTTCCATGTACAATGTTGTCAGAATTAAGCAAGAATGCATCTTCAAATCAATGGTTTTCTGTTGGTTTTTTTTTACAATAGACTATCATCACCTTTCAGACTTTTACTGGAAATGACAAATTTCCTGTCTGTGCAGTACCCTTATTTCCCAGCTACAGCACTGGAAAAGAACAAAAAGACCCCAGCGGAACCAGTGTCAGACACAAATCAATCTCCAATTAGCCAGGCACTCAAACAGGAAGAGGCTGCAGGATAACCTCTGCACAACTCATTTTTGGGGGACTGTTTGTGTCATCCTTGAAACAGATCCTGCCACAGGAAAATGAACCTCAGGACAATTCTTTCTCAGAGTCTTAACGAACGAAAAGATCTGCTTTGTCAATACTGAAGGGAACCTCTTGTGTTAGCACCAGACACACCCTGAACTCTTGGTTGTGTTCTGGGGTTTTTTTGTCCCACCACAGGGATGCCCAGGATCACAGCATTGTGGTCTGGCAGCTTTTAAAAAACAATTAAAGAAACAAATAACACTCCCCAGCTCCCAAATATAAAAACAACAACAATGTAAGAAAACATACTTTCAATGAGCAGAAATTCAAGCTGTAACTTTTTGGTACTGCTTTTTCTCTCCACACTCTATGATGTAAAGGAATTCCAGAGTCCAGCCCACATTTCCTTGGCCTGCACACAAATCTCTCCCTTGTTCATCAAAGGTTTCCAGCCCAGACTTCTCAGGCACCTCCCTCCCACCCTGACCTGAGACAGACAGACAGACAGACAACACTCACACTCAGATATGGTTCCGAATGACAACTCAGCATGGTCCCACTGAACAGCTCAAAATGGAACAGAACTTTTCCTTCCTTCCTTCCTTCCACAGTTCCATGAGATGCCTGCTGTTCTAATCCACGTTCTCCTGTGAGTGCTTCATGTGCTGCCTGGTTTCACAGAGGCCAGAAGAGGAATAAAGCAGCAGAGCACAGCTGCCAGCTCCTGCTCTGACTCACCTCAGTCACACACAACAGAAAGAGTGATTGTCCTGGGGTCGGGCCGTGCATCCACGGACAGACACTGACTTTGAAGATGCAAACGCAGCGATTCCATGAATCCACGGACAGACACTGACTTTGAAGATGCAAACGCAGCGATTCCCCGCTGTGAGCGGCCCTGGTGCAGCACTGTGCCCTCACGTGGTGACGTCCCCAGCAGAGCCCGCGGGCTGGGCCGCGGCCACAGGAGCCGGCACGGGCAGCGCCTCCAGCTCCGACTCGCGCACGAAGATCACGGCGTCGCCGCTGACGTTGATCAGACACTGCGCCTGCGGAGGACAGCGCACAGTCACCAACACCAAACACCAACCTGCCACAGTCACCAAACAGCCACAGGTACCAAACACCAACCTGCCACAGTCACCAAACAGCCACAGGTACACAACAACTAACAACAACCTGCCACAGTCACCAAACAGCCACAGGTACCGAACACCAACCTGCCACAGGTACCCAACAACAAACACCAACCTGCCACAGTCACCAACAACAAACACCAACCTGCCACAGTCACCAAACAGCCACAGGTACCAAACACCAACCTGCCACACACCGTGCTCGCTTAGAGCTGCTAATGCACCTGCACAGAAAAATCAACACGGATCCAGAGCAGGACAAATTACTGCAATTCATTGCTGAGGGAACCTGTGCCAGCTCCTTTTCTATGTGCTCTCTTGTGTGCTACCAAACATGCAGGTGGATTCCTGGGAGACCAGCACAGTGAAATATCTGCACAACCTGCTTTCCTTACTGTTTTGAATAAATTTAATTTACTGAATATTCTGCTATTGTCTTCACAAATCAAGGTTTGTCCCTTTATGTACTAAATGGAGCATTTTACATCAGCAGCTCCAGGTACTTTAGATGGAGTTAGGATGGAAATCCTACACTGCAACATCAGAAACATCAAGAAAGTTCTGCACGACTGTGCAACAGTCTCCTGCAATTTACTTATTCTAGCAAGCTTGGTTCTTTTATCTATCTGGGTATTTATGAAACATCCTCATAATTTTGTGTTAATACAAGAACACTCTTGGATTCTTCAAACATAATCCAAGATATCAAGAAATGTTGTGCAGCTCTGGCTTTACAGCACTACTAGTTTTTTAAGACATAAAATGCACATTTGTATCATACTGACCACAAGAGCACTTGTCATTTCACACCCCAGTGTACCTGATTTTTGTTTGGGTTCTCCATGAAAACACACTGCTTCATTATGTATGACACAACTGCATTCCCTCCCAGAGCTGCAACGTGGGCTCTCACCATGGCAAACACTTCAGCAATGAAGGCGTGCAGGAAGCCACTGACACCACCCTCCTGCAATGGAAAAAAGACATCACAGATGGCACTGGGCCTGGCTACAAGATGCTGGGTGCTTCTCTTACACATCTATCAGCTGAAAAACTCAGTGAGTCCCACATGGTGGGAGGGCTTCAAAGCCATTCCTGTTTGAAGGGTCAGTCCCAAATCAACGGAGAGAGACCATTCACAGGGGCCTGGAGTGACAGACAAGATGGAACAGGATGGGATCCTTGCTGGGATCTGCTGCCACAGACACCAAAGCTCATCAGCTACTGAATCTGTACCTACACAATCTGCACAATGTCCTGCGACCATTTCCCTGCTCTGACATCCTTTTGAAAACACTGTCCTTTTCACACATGGATTTCTCAAGTTAGAAGGGGAAGGTAAAAGTAACTTGCAAGATCTAAACAAAATGTTTGTCTGATCCAAGTTTCTCTAGAGAGTTCCCAGCCTATTTTCAGGAAGACTGATCATTTTTATTAACATCTGCTCTGTAATTTCAGCAATGTGTAATTGGAAAAAACCAGCAAACTCTTCAGCTCTGACAAGCCAGGCAAGAAGTACACTCTTCTTCTGTGGCCAAAAGCAAAGATACAGCTACTTCCCAAAAGGACAGGAAAATTAAAAGGAACATGGCTTGCATTTTGACATGCTCAGAGATTATCTGTTTTCCCAACGCAGAATGGAGCTCAGGGATTGAACCTCACCTCTAAGCTGGTTGCATGGTCACAGACTCATGGTGTAATTTTTGATGCTCAAAACACAAAGTTTAGTTACAGAGAATGCACAGAATGTAATGTTGAAAGTCAGCATAACATTATCTATGATATGGGCAATGATATATTAACCAAAGAATTAACCAAATACACTGTGAACCTTCCTCACTGAGCTTGCTAAATGAGAGAAGAATAGATGACTTATGTTTTTCTTTAGCATTTAATTTGGGCTCAAACGATCCCAACTTCTGCCACTGCTGGTCAAAGACACATTTTTTCCATAGAGTTCTGTTTAAGAACTCACCGGTTTAGTGTTCTACCCAAATCAGCAGCAGTGGCAATTGTTACCTAACCCCTTCCTAGCAGAGCCAAACAGAAATGGCTTCATGCGCTCCGTGACAACAGCAGCACAAAGGAACTCGCTCTGCACTCAGCACCTTCCCCCAAGTGACACAAGTTCTACTCCCTGGCTGTGCCACAGCTCAACCCAAACCTCTGATTCCTACAAGTAACACAAACTTGCTCCCTGGCACAAACGGCAGCCCTGCCACGCAGCTCACCTCGCGCAAGGAAGTGGTTTCTCGAATAAAAAACATGTTGATTATCCCAAGGTATTTGGTTATTTTCGCCCCAGGGAGGAAGGAAAGAGGAGTCATCTTAACAACTGAGACAGTGGAATTGGTGCCCGACGGGACGGAACGGTGCCTCAAGTACCCCTCAGCCAACGGGCTTGCCTTTTCAAGGGAAGGAGCTGAAAAACGGGAAAAAACAGCAGGAAATAACTATCGAGATGCATCAGTGCTCCTCAAAACACAACAACTCTTCTTTATGGCTTTCCAAATAGCTTGGTGACAACATTCAGCTGCCTGTGATGCTCAGCCACATACGTGAGAAAGGAAATCATCATGCAAAGCATGCAAAAGGAGACAAGAAGCTGGAATGGCATTTATTGAGAGTGGCATTCCTGCGAAAGGAAAACATCGAGGCGAGCAGCTGCACACACAACCGTCAGTTATAATGTGAAGGTAAAGGAAAAAGTGCCAACATTTGGAAACATGTATTCTGCTGGAAGAACAAATTATAGGAAGTGTGAAAGTTGTTGTGTTTCCCCAGTGCAGCATTTTCCATTAAAACAGGTATTAATCTCTGCTAATTTAAGCAAGATAGTCAGACCTGTGGCCAAAGAACTGCTGAAAACCAACTCACCACTTGCTAATTTAGTGATCATTGCCTTGACTGTCCCCTTGGTGATTGCTTCCTGTTTCTCACCCCCAATTTTCCAAGATCATACATACACCTACATCCATGCAGCGGATGTTATACAATTAGTAGGCGTACACACGTATGGAGAACTAATTACAGCAAGACTTCATTTGGCTTTTTACGCTACGGTTCATCAACCCTACGTGAGGTTACAGAACAATGCCAGCAGTTTTCACCCTCGCACGAGATCTGCAGCGCTCCTGCCGGGCAGGGCACTCCCCTAGTCACCACTGGGAAATCAGAGATGTGTCTGAGATTATCAGAACGGGGTAGAAACAGCCGCCTACTTGTCTTAATTGATCCGCGCCTTATGGTCTGAGCTTTCAGTTTAATGAGCTCTATCCAGCTGTTGCATCTGTCTGCAAAGGAACTGTAATCAACTGACGTTGCTGGAAACACAGACAGAAAAACAAAAGAAAAAAAACAGAAAAAAATATATGGATGATGTCTCTTGCTCATCTCAGCGCTCCTTTTTGAGGAGGCAATGCTTCCTGACAGAGAGAACGACCATCCGTGTGCAGCTCCGGCTAAGAGCAAAAGTTACAGGCTGGGCTTGGACTGCTCCAAACCAAAGTACCAAAGTACCCATTTCTGGTGGTGTCCCAGCTCTGAACCACTGCCTGAGTGGGACTTCAGCACTGGAAAAACATGCAAATACAGTCATTAAGGACTTATGCTAGATTAGGTTTTTTTATAATCTCAATTTAGGATGTAAGTTATGGCTTTTTAAACTTGATTTAAGCCTTTTTTAATTTTCGTTGCTTTTTTTCCCTTACAAAGAGCTGCTGATCAGGATTTAAATTTCCCAAATGTCTTTATCAATAACTAACCTACAGAGTGAAAAAAGAAAAACCTTTGGTGATGAGGATAAGAGTCACAAACTGAAACAACACCTCTGTTTAAACACAAATGAGTTTGCCTTAGAGAACACTCTCCCCTGTCCCACATCCTCCCTCCAACACCCCTCCCACTAGCATTACAATAAGAGTAAGAGTTGTTTCTGCTATGACTTTTGGTATTAGTTGCAGGGTGTTTGCACATCTTTAAAAAAAAGGGGGGGTTGCAAACTCCGTTTCTTCATTATCCTGAAGAAACGGGAGGAACACATGCTAACTTCAAATCAACACAGGCAAAGCAGCTCTCTGCCCAGGGACTCATTGTCTGTCACATCAGGTAACATCAATGTACCCGACAGAGAGGCTGTCATTACCACAAATCTAACTTCATCATGAAAAACCACACCAAAATATTAGGATCTCATTAAGCCACACCAGAGCATGCACTCTCAGTTAAGTAGTAAACACTTCCTGGAGTAAGACTCATCCAAAAAGAGTACACCAATATCCCAAGAATGCTCATTCTGTTCTGGCAGATGGCTACATTAAGGAAACTCACCTCTCTGAGCAGCAGGAATACCTGTGTGGGAGCTTGCACCCTCCAGGGCTTCTAACAAAACAAAATTAATTGCGTTCAGATCATCTATTAGGCAGTTACAGGACAACAGCTTCCAAGAAAGATGGCAGGGACTATTTCCAAGGGCCTGGAGTGAAGGGCAGGGGGAATGGCCTCACACTGCCAGAGGGCAGGGCTGGATGGGATACTGGGAATTGGGAATGGTTCCCTGCAGGGTGGGCAGCCCTGGCACAGCTGTGGCTGCCCTGCATCCCTGGCAGTGCCCCAGGCCAGGCTGGACACTGGGGCTGGAGCACCTGGGACAGTGGCAGGGATCCCTGCCATGGCACGGGTGGAATGGGATGGGATTTAAGGTCCCTTCCAACCCAAACTGCTCCACGATTCTGTGACACTTAAAAAGATTTTAAGGTCAAGTATGAAAAAATCCCACCCTCTACACAGTATCCTGTGTACTGTGATAACAGAGCTAGTGTAAATAATTCACTTACTAAATCTACCTTGCAATTTTAATATGTTTATTCATCAAAGGTCACTACTGTATAAGACTGTAAACCAGTATTTCTAAAACAACAATCCTACAGAAAAGTAGAGATATGTTAAATAATCTGTTAAGCAAATGTAACTACAACGAGGTTGTGAAGAAATGACAGATGGAATAATTTTGAGGCTGAGCTGCTCTGCCCACAGCCCGATCTGGGATGTGGAGAGCAGAGGGAAAGGGGTGCACGGGAACAGGCTGCCCTCCTCTGGCACTGCCCAGCAATGGCCACAGACACCAGCAGAAAGCTCTGGAGAGCTGCTCGTTTTGAAAATAAAAACGTAGCAAATCAAAAGTTAAGCATTAAAAAAAAAAATCAGTAAGAATTTTTTGCTGAAATTAATCTGGCCTCTGAAAATACAAGTAAGTGTGGAAGGCACTCTTCTTTACACAAAAAAAGTAACAGGCAAAAAAAGGAGCTCAAACATTTACAGTAACTCCCAGATATTTAATTTCCTCCCAGTAACCATTTTGGTAGATAATCCAACAAGGGAGAAGGAATTAAAGACAGCTGATTTCAATGAATTGAATCTTTAATGCAGCCATAGAAGAAGTGTGACAGCCATTCTTGAACTGCAGCTCTCTCTCAGGTAAAATAAAGCAGCTGGTTGACAGCTGCAGTGTGCTGCACTGCACAGATTATTTACTATACAAGGTTAGGCTCCTTTCACTCAAAGGAAATTTGCATGCAATCAGTATCTGGCAGATGAAGGATTTCCCAGCATGAAAACAATGAGATTAATTCTGAGAGGCTGAGGAAACATGAGGTACTTTATATGGCCATTTCCATATGGGACAAGGCTAATTATCAGGTAATCGGTAGTTCTGTCAGATGACACCCAACACCCAGTGCCTTGCAGCACCTTCAATATTCTAAATGCAAAGACAGGAAATATAGACAGAATGATCAGCCAAGCCATCTTCTGTGACTCTCAAAAAATTCCACAACAGGAGTGAATGTACCCATTATGCTGAGGCAGCAAAGCACATTTAAAGCCTGTGAAGTACAGATATTTTAAAGCCTCTACAACTATGAAAGAGCAGAACTCAAAACCCATAAAAAACAACAGCTGAATATTCTTCCCCTTAACTGACCTTTAGCTGGAGAGAATGGTTGAGAAGAAAGGGGGTCAGAGGAAAGTTCCAAGGGAAACTGGAGCTGTTCTTCATTATCTGTAGATGCTTCAAGAAAGAAAACATGGCCAACTGATAATTAACCCCAAAATAAGATTTGCCAGTAATTACAAGCAAAGTCAGTTTAGCCAGGTCTGACTTGAGCAGGTATTTTCAGCATGTGCATAAAGTGATGCAGTTCTGCAAAAACAAATCCAGCTGCAACACTGAACAGAGCCTGTATTCCACTGAACAGGATTTGAAGTTTTTAGGAGAAAAATGAAGGCCATTCATGCATTTTTATTGTGATTCTGCAGTTGGATCTATGTCAGCTATCATAATAAAGGTTACCACTTATTTCACAAGAAAGGAAACACCTCACTCTACTGAAGAAGTCAGCTGTAACTAATGTTTTAGAAACATGTGGCTCTGTTCCAGTCTTTAACTCCAGTCTGAAGATTGAGTGTGCCCAGAGTTCTGTCTGAACCCCCACTGCAGACTGCACACTTGCATTTCCAGCATGAGCTGCTGCTTCATTGGCAAGGTGACATCTGCAGACCACAGCAGTCTGTTCCATGTGCTCCACTGAACTCCAAAACTATTACTGGCCTGTCCCAAGAGTTTGCAGAAGGCTGGGGTTTTTTTAAATTATTGCAAATAATTTATTTTCCACCTTCTTCAAGTACAGACAAACTTTATACTTATAAGAACAAGTATTCCCTGATGATTTACACATGTTCCAAAATACAACAGAAATATCATCATCTGTTACACCAACCTTTTAATCAAAGTAGTATCATAGAATAAGAAAGTATTAGAAATTTGCTGATTATTGAAAATAAATACATAATACTTGATAAGTAAGTAATTCTGCTGGACGTCAAGTACATGAACTCTAAAAAACCTCTATGTGGAAAGACCCTCTCTGAAAAATATGTATATTTGAACTTGATGATCCTTGTGGGTCCCTTCCAGCTCAAAATATTCTGTGCTCTGTGATTGTACATGTAACTGAAATCACAATCCAGACTCATTAGGCACTGGGGATAAAAAGGAAAGATTCCTCACAATATTTACCTCTTTGCTGTGATTTTTCTGTAGGTGCTTTGTTGGCTTGTAGTGCTTGGTTTTTGTCATATGTAATGGCAACAGCTGTGACTGCAATCTGCAAATCAGGAATATTTGGCACATTAGCTAAGTTGATCTCTTGTGCAATCTGAAAAATAATTTTGCAAACAAGCAGTTCTTTGCATAGAAACATAATAAGGAAAAACCACCTAAGAATTCAGCAGCCATTTTTTGCTGAAATTAAGAGGTAGCAGTAAATCAAACCCTGGCCCAGGTTACCCTGAGCAGCAAACACTGCCCAGGGCTGTGCCTGGAGGCAGCAATTCCCTCACCTGAACCCATTCCCAATCCCTCATCTGATCCAGCCCATCCCAACCCCTTACCTGAACCCCAGTTCCCCCAGTCCCTCACCTGCACCAGCCCATCCCAATCCCTCACCTGCACCAGCTCATCCTCGGGCAGAGCCACGGTGAAGTTGACGTGGCAGAGGCAGCAGGGCACCATGGAGCGCAGCTTGAAATACAAACTCTGATGGAGACAGGAGAGCATTTGTGTTACTCAGGGAAAAAGGGGGGTTTATGTCAGGGAAATCAGGCATCACAACTCTCTTCATAGCACAAGTCCCCTAATGATATTAATCTTTTCTTGAAGAAGTACATTTGTGCAGTCAGGACAGAATGCCATTTACTGTGGAGCTGTCTATTTCTAGAGTACCCTGCTGGTCAAAGGACTCCTTCAGGTTCCACAAGCTCTGAATTCCCTAATATACCAAAACAGGCTGAACCTATCTTTACAGAAACTCATCAGCTAATTACAGACACTGCAGTCTGTTTCCAAAATTATGAGGCACATGTTAATTTCAGGGCAGCTGAATTTTCCTTGGCCCCATTTGAACACATAAAAAAATATTTGAAATAAGATTCTTACCTTCAGCAGATTCTCACAGAGATCATTAAAGTTCTTATTGAGTGTTTGATTTGTTGGGTTAATGTTGCTTAATCTGGACACTCTAACTGCTGTGAACATCTGAATTAGAAACAAACATAGAGATTTTTGGCCAACACATGCAAATATATGTTATCCACTGTCTTAAACCCACATTCATAAAGAAGGAAAATAATGTAAAATATGTTAACATTTATGTTCAATAAGTAACAAAATAAGTTACCTAAGCAAGACAATCAATAATCTGTTCCCTTTAAGGGGCTTCAAACCCAGCCAAACCTTTCAAAAAGCCAAAACCATGAAGTTCAAATTTACTGTAATTACTTTCGTATTTCCATATTAGATTATTTGTTACATGACAGCATTTAAAAAAACCAAAAGCCCAGGTTCTCATACCTTATTGTTCTTACCAAAATACTACTTTTATTTCTGTCACAAGGGTGTCCTTTGAATTTAGCTTTCAAAATATATATTTAAATTACTACAGCATATTTCAAAACAATTTGGCAAAAGTTTCAATTTTGAATAACCTTACTTGAATTTCCGATGTCCAGTTATTTATACCAGGCATAATTTCTGTGTTGCAACTGTAGAAACCTGTGAAGAAAATACTTGTGAAAAAATTATATTTTATACACTGCAACATAAAAATACTCAAAGGAAACACACGTGACAAGGCTTTGCAACTATTTTCCCTCCTGTGGTTTTGAATATTAGACCAGAAATGAGATCAACATCCAAGAAAAAACACAGAATCCTTGTAGGAGGGGCCAACACCCCAAATCCACAACTGCTCCACCTATTTCTATTAGATAAACCATGCACAAACGAGGAAACTTTTTAAAAGGTGTGATATGAAAAGCTCAAAAGCCAACCTTTACCAGAGAGCACAGTAAAGGCTGTAAAGGAGCTACAGCAGTGACTGACTGCAAATGAAAAACAGAATTATAATGCCTAAACAGCACAGTAAAATAATTTATTATTAGGACTAGGCAAAGAGGGATAAAATGCTTCATTTTCACAGTGAACACATCTGTAATTCTGGATTTGGTGCTTCACACACGTTCATAACTCACATGCAGAAGAGGATAACACAAGATGATGGCTGATGGCCTTAATTCAGAGCAGTAAAATCAATTGCAGCAGAACTGCATACTCAGCGAGGAGTAAAAGAACTGGTGATAGTAATGGATAATGCAAGGACAGTTCTGAGCTGATACTACAAGATTAACACTGGTATCAGTTATTGGGAAGGAAACCACGACTTTCTCAGAAGAAACACAGGGAAATTCACAATGAAAAGCAGAAGGACAAGCACAAATCAAATGTCCAGAGCAATTTCTACATAATAGACACCTATATTTGCCTCTTATCCTGATCCACCAGTTCTGCTGGGAAAGGTATGACATATCTATACAACAAGAAATGGCATAAAGACAACTGATAGCAGGCAATAATTAGTTCTCCATTCTACTTTCATTACCCTGAAACCTGCAAATCCATAATTCAGTCTAAAAACCTTCAGAAACAGCAATATTGTCAGTTCTCTTGGAACTTTTAAAATAATTTTTAATAAAGCTGTAATATTTTGTCATTTTGCAGCCTACAGCATAAATGAGAAAAATATGGTTGTAACCATACCAGAAGGTGGTGGAACATCTGTCAGTAAAGAATGCACATCTTCCATTGCATCCGTGTCATCAATCTGCAAAAAGGGAATAACTGAGAAAATCAGGTTGCTGTGCCAGTAGGAAGCTTCCAAAAGCAATCACTCAACCTCCATCCCATCCAACCTTTACCACTCTAATTTCAGATCAGACTGAGAGCCCTGCTAGCTGCTGTAAACATTCTGGTGTGCCTTGACATCCATCCTGTCCTACTGCCCTCCAAGAGATCCACATCTACCAATAACTGCCAACATTTTCTTATCCAGTGTTTGAAAAATGGTTTATAATTTAACTCCAGTACTGAAGGGTTTTCTGTCAAGTGATGTGTCTCCTTCTCCCTCTCCATGTAAAAGGGGTTGTCTTTTTCTTTCCTTCAAAAAACAACCCAAAAGCTAACCAAAACCAACCCAGGTATCTTCAGCTCTCATAACTGCCTGCTCAGCCTCCTTCAGCACACCCTCAGCACAATGAAATTTTTATTACTTTTTCTTATATAGCTCAGTGAACAATGATTTTCCTCTTGAAAGCCTGGTCAGGAGTTCAACTTCTGGAATATTGTTTCTGATATCCAATTAATCATAAACCAAACTTCTCAAATAAGACAGTAGTGAATGATTCCACAGATAAAAAGTAATTTTTTTTCTATAAATGCCTTACAAAAATCCTCAATTTTTTACAAAGGTATTTGACCCTTTTTGCAAAAGCACCAACCAATCTAAATTTATTATCCCCAACTCTCCCAACCTGTTATTTTTTCACTCTCCTTTCACACTTCTCTTTTCAAACAAACCCCTGTTATAGTGCTCCCTCATTCCTCCTATCTACAGCCTTTCTTCCAGATTATTTTCCATGAAGATGGTGATTTGTGAGGATTAACAAAGCCTCAGAAGTACCTCAGGCTGCAGTTGCAGGCTGCATTTTGAAGTGGATTTTAGTCAGTGATAGGCATTTGTACTGTCTGTCTCTACAGGATGACCAAACTCCAGCCCTTGTTCAACACTTGCTGTGGCATTAAAGGCTTCAAAGCACACAATGCTCAATTGTCTTTGAATTTCAGTGGAGAGAGAGGTAACAGAAACCTACACCCTTTCTTTGTCTGCAGGTGTTGCTCTCTCTGCTTGCAGCTGTAGAAAGAACTGGAAGGTATTGTCACAAGCTGTGAATTCTTAAATTGTGAAAAGCAATAGCTGAAATTCAAAAAATCTTTTATGTGCTGTCTTGGCACATGCAGGTTTTTGAATGCTTTGAATACATCCCATTCTGGAAACTAATAATTCTGAATGTTCATCTACCACATTAAGAGCTTTGAAACAGGAGGAAAATACAACCTTTTTATTTGCTAGATATAAAGTGTGACAACACAGAACCTCAGTGTTTATGAAAATAGATCTTGAGTTTTTCATTAGTCTGATCTGCTGCTTGAAGCAAGCAGAAGGACATTTCTTAACAGCTCTTAATTATTAATCTAGAGACTGCTACATATTCATGAACAGCAGGGCAATCTTTTTTCACATAGTCTGTAGACAGCTGTGCTTTAAGCAAATAGAGCAAGGAAAAGAGAGACAAAGCAAATCTGATACTTCCCTTTTTCTACTGATACAGAAGGGAAAAATTCATAAACAATCTAGGAACTGTTCTTGGAGATGAGCAAGAAAATTTTTTTAAATATATATTTCAGGAGAAGAAAAGCATGAACATGAATAGGGCAAATGTTTATCACCTCCAAGACAAAAGCATCCTTCTTCCCATGTGAAAGGTCAAGCTCTGTAACTTCATCAGAGCTTTCTGACTGAGATCTCAACAGCCTGGAACGCTGTCTTGGCTCTGGAATGGGAGACCCAATAATTTCTTCAGGTAACTCCTAAAAAGAAAGTAAGAATTAACAGATGTTCTGCCCAGCTTAAAAAAAATTCAACTCTCCACAAGTTGTTAACAATTCTAACAATCAGATCATTCTGAAAATCATTCTACTGAGAAATACATCTAAATAATGCCACAGTGATTTGGCTATGTGGCAAAGGGATCTGAGAATTCCAGCAGCTTTCCAAAATCCAGTGAAAGAACTCTGTATCTCTATTCGTAAATAAAACTATTCGTAAATAAATTTCTGTTCCGAATGGCTCAGTAAGAAAAAATGGATATGCAGTGCATCTATTTGAATCAGAATGCTTTATTTTTTAAGAACCAAAGATTTACTTACTGGAGGATTAATCTCATAGAGTTCCTTGTTCTTTGCTATTGTATCATTTATTTTCTTTTGCATATGGGATATGTGCTGCTCATAGGTGCCATCGTTTGGAGTCTTGCCAGCAATCTGAATGCCTCCAGGTGTGGGCAGAGCTGCTAAATACACACCTGTTGCAGACTTTTCAGCAGTCACAAAGAAAAAGACAAGTGTATGAGCATGAATTCCTGATATTTTCATATAAAGCTTTCCGTAATCCTTGTGCTACAACAGCATTGTAACATGCAAATTACAGCAGCACCTCTTGTAAATAAACAAATGGATCTTTCTCTTTTGTTCACTTATGAAAAATTTCACTATTCTTTTAGAAAACTCCCTCTTTTCCATTTCTCACGGTGGAACTCTGAAACTTGCCTAAAAATTCCAAACAAACTAAAAATTAAAGCCTCTGCCCCAGTATGTCCTGCATAAGTAAATAGTTTTTTCAATTTTTTTGAAGATCTGAAATTTGGCCAAACCATTTAGAGCATCAGTGAGGTTGTGAGAATCCCATTTCCATTTTCAGGAGACATAGTGGAAGACAAAAGAAGATAGCAGCCAGAATTACCCCAGCATCCCTGATGCAGGAAGAAGCAGCAAATTCACTAATCTAATCTAGCATGAAAGAATGGGGTTAGAAAATATTGTTAATGAACATCTCTTGACTTTCTCAAATCTATAATTTATTTCTTCAGCTCCATCAAAGAAGAGGCAACGGAACTTCCCCTTGTTGCCAAATAACCAAAAGATTTCCTGACAGGCTTAATTGACCTTATTTGTCATGGAACTGCAAATTCAGTTTGAAGAACAGGGATCTCTGACAGGACCTTTAAAGAATACCATCTTTTTCTACAATTTGTGCCAATTAACTGTTTGAAGTTTCTTTTTCTCTCATCCTCTTTTTACTCGTCTCATCTTTTACCGTTTTCAAGCTATTTGAATCTTCTTCTGCTGGTTATGAAGGACAAGTCCGTCCTGATTTTACAATAATTAAGATACCGGCTCTTAAAATGACATTTTAATATGTCTGATGACTCTGAATCCCACAACACTTGCACGTTTCCCTGAACAAATACTGTAAGAAAGCAGAAGCAGCCCAGGATCCCAGCAGTACTTACTGCCAAGCCCATCAGCATGTTCTCCCCCACAGTGATCTGAATTCTGAGCCCAAAGAGGGCATTCATTCCCCTCAGCTTGAGTTTGTTCATCAGCTGCGTGTGCACTTCGTACTCCATGAAGGGCAGCAGGTTGCTGATGGAGGTGGCGTTGGCCTCAGCCTGAGCTTTCTTCTTCAGCCGGCACAGCCTGGAGCAGGAGCACAGACAGGGCTCTGGCAGGGCTGGGGAGGGCCAGGGGGAGCCTCTGCAACCCCCTCCCCACTGGATAACCCAGGGCAGCTCCATGAACCATCTGCAATTCTCACTGCATAACCCAGGGCAGCTCCATGAACCATCTGCATTCTCACTGCATAACCCAGGGCAGCTCCATGAACCATCTGCATTCTCACTGCATAACCCAGGGCAGCTCCATGAACCATCTGCAATTCTCACTGCATAACCCAGGGCAGCTCCATAAACCATCTGCAATTCTCACTGCATAACCCAGGGCAGCTCCATGAACCATCTGCATTCTCACTGCATAACCCAGGGCAGCTCCTTTAACATCTGCAATTCTCACTGCATAACCCAGGGCAGCTCCTTTAACATCTGCAATTCTCACTGCATAACCCAGGGCAGCTCCATGAACCATCTGCAATTCTCACTGCATAACCCAGGGCAGCTCCATGAACCATCTGCATTCTCACTGCATAACCCAGGGCAGCTCCATGAACCATCTGCAATTCCCTCCCCACTGGATAACCCAGGGCAGCTCCATGAACCATCTGCATTCTCACTGCATAACCCAGGGCAGCTCCTTTAACATCTGCAACCCCCTCCCCACTGGATAAGCCAGTGCAGCCTCTTTCCAATTCCTCTAGATTGCTGCAGCAGTACAATAAAGTGCCAGCTCTTTACAGGAACTCCTTGAGACAGTGCCATCTGAAAACTTCTATTTTCAGCTCTTCTTCTAGTAAGAGCCCCCATGCAAACATCTGCTTCTCTTGCTGCAAGCCTCAAACACTTCAGGCACAAGTACAAAAAATTACTACTGTAATTTCTAGTGGTAGAACTTTTACAATTCCTATTCATACAGTTATTCAAGTCACACATTGGAAAGAAGAAAAAATCCCACACCTAAGTGCCGTCACAGCTGAAGCATTAGCCATATTTATCTGAAAAGAATAAAACAGAGCATAGCAATCCCATCTCTGACTACATGTTAATCATCTTCCTCTCTTTGGGTTTGGTCCTACAAGCTGAAATTCAAAGCCCACACCAGTGCAGTGATACTTTGAGAGAGAAATGTTATTTAGGAACACATGCCAATTGCAGGTTTTAGATTATAAGGTTTGATGCCACATTGGATTTTTAGCAACAGGAATTCTTCCAGAGGTCTCCAAAACTGCACTAGACTAGAAGGAATGATTTTGACAGATACCTGGCTTGAATGAGACATCCCTTCCCAATAACTATTGCCTCTACAGGAAGGTCGATTGTGGTGAAAAGGACATCAGGAACTTTTTGCTTCCTGCAGTTGTAACAGTAAGTGAGGTGGGCAGGAAATGGCATGTTCAATTCATCATATGGGATATGGCAAAATCCACAACCTGGCGGTGAAGCTTCTTCAATCCTAAAAACACATAATGGAGAGAAAGCTTAAAACATCTGCACCTTGTTAACCATGCTCAGTCAGTGCACATGTGAATAAACACCTACAGAGAGCTGCTCAAATCATCCACCACAACTGAACTCTGCTCCATTACACCAGGCTGACAAGTGTTACAATACACCAACCACAAGAAGAAAAGGGTGCACACTGCTTGCTAAAATGCCATCAATAGAACTTGCATTGAAACTTCTTATGCAGGGATTGAGAAAAAGGACATTCAGTGACCAACAACTCATAAAAACCTGGAACACCACTGAGCTGGCTTGAAGCAGTTTAACTTCCAAATATAATCCACGATACAACACTTGTACACAGAATTGGCTGTACCAAACACACCAAAAAATTCTCTTTTTCTCATTGTGTCCAAAACCCCATAAGAGCAGAATACAAACATCAAACCAAACATCCTTTAGAGAGGCAGCACAATAAGGTAAAATGAATTATTTCCTTATAACCCTGGAATGACCACTATAAAGTTATGAACAGGGAAAGCACAGGCCAACTGCATCACTGCAAATGGATTCTGTTTCACATCAACAATTCTCAGGGATTTTGAAGATGTGCTTAATCAAGTCTATCAGATTTGGAACATTAGTTATCATAAGACTTGGCAAACAGATTTAGTGTTGAGCATGAGCTTTGTCTGTTTTACCTCTCTCTGGCACTTCTAATCCATGCCACAACTCTTAGTAGCCCCAAAATACATGTTTTGAAAAAGTGGTATTTTCTTTATGTTACAAACACGGTATTTCTTTCTCTCTGTCATACAGTGACCACAAAACCAAGTATTTTAGTTCTGGCTACAGTTTTTAAAACTGTATCTACACTAGAAGACAATGGTCTTCTGCTAACAAAGTAAAAGAATAATAAATTCTAAATAAACCATGTCGACTGGTTCACTATGGAAAAAGCAATGCAAGTGCTAAAGTGTAAGGAATAGCCTTGCTTACAACTACAATTATCCCTTGAAATATTTGATTACTATCCTGATGAATACATAATAAATTACCAATAAGCATTAATTAATCTTTTTTTCCCCAAAAATAACTTTGTGGCATGGCTCATTGTTCAAATTCTATTTGCAAGAGCAGAAACAAAGGGAAACTTCAGTTTCATGCTTTTGTTCATCAACTTCAATAAACACATACCTATTTTGGAAAAACCTGGCATCATATTTGTTTAATAACCCAGCTACTTTATCTCCCGCACATAGATATTATTTAATGGAGCAGATATACACACATTACAGACACAGCCACTTTTGGCTTATGCAAGTTATCAAACATCTGTCATTTTTTGTGGTGTGATACAAAACAGAGAAAAGAGACCTGAAGAGCAGCGAAGGAGAAAACTGAGTTATGGTCTGTGTTAGTAGTCAAACGTGTTACCTTATTGAGACTGTTAGAAATAAAAACAGAGTATCTAAGTGGGTGCAGAGCTCCATTACTCCCGTGGTGGTTGTTGTTAGTGAAAAGCAGTAAAGTGGTTGGTCCCGCATCCTGCACTGTAACACTGTAACCTACCCTAATAGAGAAGAACTATCTTGGCTCTGAGGAAAAAAATCAACCTCTCCCTTGTCTGACCCTATGGAAAAGAAGCCAGGCTGCCATGACAACCTTTGTTCCAAACAGCCTTCCATGGTGCCATCCTGAAGGAACCTAGGGTTCAGTACAGCTGCTGTGCCAGATGCGGACAAAATACAGACCTCTTCACTATAAGAGAAAAGAACAACAACACAGTGAATTCCTGCTGCTCAGGGGCTGCTTTCACAGCACATCATCAGAGCCAAAGGCTGCTACAAGTCTCAGTGCAGTTCTGTGCACTTGTGCAATTCTACCCCTTAAAAATCACAATCCTCTTCTGGTACTTAAACCACAGCCATTGCCTAAGTACAAGGTGAAGGAGGATTGCACAGAGAGACTTGAGAGCTTTGTCTCATGTCACAAATAATGTAACAAGACAGAGGCTACCCAGGTTTAAGTATGCTTTTCAGTTCTGTGGTTAAAAATGCAAAGAAATACAGCAAACCAAGTAAACATTAAAAAAAAAAAGCATAATTTTTACCAAAGTAAAAGGGAAGTTGAGAGCCCCAGCATCTTATTAACTTTCAATTTTCAAAATGAACTTTCAATTTTCACAACTCAACACTGACAAGGGTGCTTCTTGAAGGATAAAAAGTGGCAAAACAGTAAAATTTTACTAGGAAGAATTACAAAAATGGTACATTTTGCATGTAAAGTAAACAGCCATACTTAAGATTTAGCAGAGTTCAAGCTCTCAGAACGACCACAGAGCTTTAATAATTCTCAAGTTGTTAAATAAAAAAACATCTAGCATTCAGTATAAAATACTATACGGAAAAAAAAATAGAGAAAATTTTTCCCATGTTTTCTAGAATGACACACTTGTCTTTTTTTTTTTGTTCTTGTTTCTCTTTCCAAAATAATTTTTCATACATAACACGTCTGGCAGACCAGAACTTACACAGGTTTGTGCTTTGAGCATGGAATAAAGCTGAACTGGCAATACAGTATAGGAATTCCAATAAATATTTTATCAACAATCAAACACTACCACATTCAATTCCTTTAGAGAAATGCAAGCACCAAATAACCCAGTACCTGACTGCCTATGCTCTAAACATTTTTTGCCCATAGTTAGGGTAGGAAAAAGCATACAAACTATTAATGCTAATTACAAGGAGACTGACAAGCAAAGGAATAAATGCTTCATGTTGGTGTGTTATCCCTCAGTGATGGAGCAATTGAGGAAAATAGGGTAAACCAAAACTTCTCCAACTCCTCTCCTTAAAAAACCAAATTTTTAGTGCTTTCACCTTAAAACATTTAGGCAAAATCAGTTTGAAAGGAAATAAATTCAGATGTTGGAATTTGCTTGCTGCTTCCCAAATGCAATTCAAAATAGTGAACCAGAGTAATTTTCTGTTTAATATCAGCAGACACACCTGGCTCCAGGACAAGCTTGTTTTGGGCCTGAAATGTGAAATCTTCCATTTAAGTTCTGGTCTGCCAGTTGTTATCCAATAATGAAACTTCAATACATAAACTTTTAGGAATATTCTTAATTATTTAGGTAGATTAGATTTAGAAAACTTCATGGATAAATTAATACCGATACTACAAAAACTGTAAGTTCTAGTTTAAAATAAAAAAATTGTACCATTTATTAGAAAAAACTTAAAACTCAGATCTAAACATATATAAAAACGCCTAATACTGAAATTCCATAATCTCACTTAAACTCTGTAGTTACATAATAGGCAGTACCAACATCTGTACTGGAATAGTTAATTTTTAATCCACTGATGATGAAATACATTTTCTGTGGCATTTTGAAAATCAAATCATCATCATGATTTACCAAATGCTGGTTGATTCACTGTAGCCCACTACAGCATGACAACCCAATGCCTTGGCATGGGATTTTATCTCTTGTCTGATTTCTGCCCACCAGGCATCTCGTGTCTCTGGTTCATCTGAAAGACAAAGTACAAATCAGTTCACTACTCTGGGCTGGGCTGACACAAAGCTGCATGCAATTGATTCCCCTGAAAAGCCGAGGCTTTCACATTCCCGTGCTTTCAGTGTGGACACTTGATTTCCCTCCTACTTAGACACTTCAAGGAAGCACTAACAGGACTTTTGCACTCATTATCTTGTTCCTCCCCCACACGAGCAGACTCTCACCAATGACTGCATTCTCCTTGTTGTCCACATGCCAGGTAACACTAAGATATTGTAGATACTGTTCCAGTCTCTACCTGGTTTTAGTCCCAAACCACACCCTCAGCTTCCCACAACACAAGAGCAGCGTGTAACATCAGACACTCTGTAATGCTGAAAAACTAACAGTAATAAACAGTGTTTCTAGTAGCAAACTTAGGTTTTACATTGCTGTGCACTTGCTATCTCTGAAATAACCTCAATAAGTTTTCCTACTGGAAGCAGTTCTCTCTTAACCAGATTTTGAAAATATTGGTTCCAAACTGTACCACTAATCAAGCAGACAGTTCTGTGGCACTTCTAGCTGTGAGAAGCCAAAAGGATTTGAAACCACTTCTACATTTACAACATGAAGAAATACAGGATGCATGCTGTCAGTGGTTTTGAGTCAGTATCCCGGAAACTGCACCTTCCCTTCATGGCCACGAATGGATTCAAATTACCTTTATTGTCCCCAGGGTTACATGTTAAATATATCCTGCCTGCTTTTCTTGAAAACTACAAGATACAAAAATACAACAAGAGTGTGCTGCTACAATAAGTTCATGCAGTACATTTATTTTTTAAGTGCTCAGCAATTAGTTCCCACAACTAAAGCTCTTGTCTTACAAAGAAGCCAACAAACACTGAATTTACAACTGGAATCTGTCAGCTGTTTCTTCTCTCAAAACTTACCTGTTACAATGAATTTGGTTAGCAACTGTGTTAATTGTTAATACAAAAAGGGAAAACCAGTAACAATCATTACCAAAAGGGTTCTGAGTAGAGAGATTCTTATGGAATTTCTCTGAAATTAACTGGACTTAGCACAGATACAAACTTCTGGCTACTGAGTTCTCCTTGCTGAATCATAATTTAAATATCAAAGTCAAAACCTGGAATTCATTTGGAACCAATTTTGTACTACCAGGAATATTTACCAACACAGTGTATGATAACCACATTATCATACACTTGCTTCTCTGACAACATGACAAACAAAAATGCAAGATGCAGATATACACAGAATTTAAAAGTTACTGAAACAGAAATATTGTAAAGTAAGATGTATTCATTCATGACTTTACCTCAAGTTTGCATTTAGAACTGGGCTCTAATTTCTCTAAACTAAACTAATGATCTTTTCCAATTCAAAGGAAGAGCAGAGGTCTGTATGTTCAATTATACCTAACTTTAGATGGCCGTGCTTGTGTAACTCACAGCATTACAGCAGCCTGGATGCTCAGATTGAAGTTTATTCAACCTTTGCTTTAAGAAACCACCACTGAACAGAAAAAACCTTACAGTGAGAGTTCCTAGGAAGGTTCTCTGCAAGGAACAAAAATGTACACATCAGAACACAAACCAAGGGTTTCTATGAGCTGCACCAACCGTGTTCTGCAATCCAAGGTCACCTCAGCAGGCTCCAGCGCACTGCTGGCAGACTCTGAGGGCTGCACTTCACTCTCAGGGTGAAAACACTGTTAAATCCTCTCAGTGACTGGGGCAATAAACGCTCAGGATGATGCTCAGCAATCCTGACTCAGAGTCCTGGAGCCCCTGCTCAAGCCAGCTTTGGAATTCCTGGGATTCCTACAGGAATAATCCATCACACACAGGGCTGGAGCTGCCCAGCCCAGCTCTCAGGACCACCTGTGGTACAGAAAAATGGGAAATGCCTTCTCTGCTGCTCTGCTGCCTGCAGGGAGCTGAACCAAGGGACATCTCTGGGAAGGGACTGTAAGGCCAGGCTGCAATATCTGCCAAATTCAGGGTATGGAGGGTGGGAGAGCACAGGCACATTCTGTCAAAGTTCTTTAAACTCTTCTTGGTGACAGGGACATGGACCTTGGGAGCAATTCCTCCTCTCCCCTCCAGTCATGGGCCACAGATTGTTTGGATAAGCAATGTGTTTCTCCTCATACATGGAAAGTCTAGGCAGCAGCAAAAGTGGTTCTGTGACCATGCAGAAAAACATCTGCTCAATGAGACTGGGTCACAGGCACCTGGCTATAAACACTGACTGAACAGCCACACAAATTCTTGTACTTCACAGAAAAACACCTGCAAGGAAGAAATACCCTTTTTCCTAGGAAAAAAGTGCCAGCTTTCAAAACTACAACTTTTTACACCTTTTGGTTCCATGTGGCAAAAACTGCTTCTACTTATCACCAGTGACATTTCAAAGTGCAAGAAAATGTGAAGTCATGATGAGAATTTGAGAGTAACAAAAGGTGAGGTGACTGAGGATGAACACAAAAAGTGCTAGTGCTGTGAAATAAAGGTAAGAGTGATAAAGACAAGAATGACATTGAAAAGGAATGTAGCCACAGTGAAAACTGAAACGGAATGAGATGTTGAAAGGAAACAGGGATCTTTAAAGTGAACATAAAAGGTAGAAATAGTGACGGGTCCCAAATTCTATGCAAACGTTTAGCTTTCCTCCACAAGAAATTATAGTTTAAATTATTGAACTTAAGAGACTTAACAACTTCCTTACCTAACATGTACAAGGACACCTTACCATTATGGCAAACACACTGTTGTGAAGTTGCTCAACACTGTCTTGCTAAAACAACATTTAACCCTTGAGTCTAAGAATCTGTTCAATATCCTCACTAACAAAGAGGTAAGAAGCATTTTCCAGCCATTGTCTTCAGTGTTAACAGGATCAGGCCCAATACCTTTCATAGAATCCAACAATTTCTTATCATACAGAACAAATATTTCTGTAAGTCATGCAGAAACAATTGTTTGTAAAGAAAACTGTGACCTCTGCTTAAGATGTTTGACTATTTCTTAGTTCCAGAAAGAGGCCAAAAAATAATTATTATATTTCTATATAAACACTATACATTCAGTTTACTTGAACTTACCTTTGCGTATTAAAACACAAAATAATTGTCTACAATTATTATTAAAATCAAACACCATGACATCGCAATAATAGGTTGATACGAAACACTGAATGCAGTGCAATGTGTAGCATTCATATTCCTCTGACAAATTTTCACAAGCAGCCTTTTTGACACATGAGCCACACGATTTCACATGGGGATGCCGTCGTAGCATTTCCAAGTTTAGTAAAGCTCAGGATTTACACCAACATTAGAGGAGTTAGGGAAGCAGGATGGCATGTGTCCAGCACACTCCAGGGAGTGCCTGTCGGTTGTCGGGCTGAGGCACAAGCTCAGGAGCTGAGGGTTTGCAAAGCGGATTCAGCAGACAGGAGCCAGAAACGGTGGGACTTTGGCGCATGCTTGGATCAGGTGACAGTACAGACTGAAAACTATGGCAGCTCACTGAAATGGTTACAGAAAGTAATGGCCCTGCATTCTAGGTGGAAGCAAGAAGGCAAGCATACAGAGCACTCATCACAAGCTTTTCTAGCAAATGTACCCAGTCCTTTGGACCGAGGGTTCTCTACAACTTGAGGCAGAAAGGTTTGCAGGAGGTTCCACTGCTAATTACGTCCCCTTTGTGGGAAACCAAGGGCTGAACGCTAAACTTACTGCATTGATGTTTCCAAACTGGCAGGATATTTGTAACCCAGTGGAAGCAAAGCACACTGTTACTATGGCTGAGGACTTGAGAAACAATGCTGTCAAAAGTATAGCGTTCTATAAAAATTGTGCCAACTCAAGCCTCCTCCAGCTGGAACTTTGCCAACAGATTTTATTCAGCAGTTTTATAGGACACAACCAGCACTTCTGTACCTGGGATGTTCTTTGAGCCAGCTCTATCCACCACCAAGTCACCCCTCTCCCTTAGAATACAGGCTGGAGCTGCACTATCCAGGGGACAACACCCTCTATAAACCTTTCACCCTAGACACTACCACTGTCTGATCCATAAGTTTGCCCAAGTTTATTTGCTAGAGGTTCACTCGTACAGGTTCTTTCAAGATTTACCCAGAAGCTGCATTTTGCTGGTCCATATAGATTTTTGAAACTGAAGACAGATTAAGAAGAATGGTCTCTTGATGACACTGTTCATACCCAAGAGCTGCTGTATCCTTAAAGCTGAATCCTTAAACAACTTGAGGAAATTGCTCCAAAGTAGGCACTGTCTGATTAATTCCAACCAATTTTACATTGCATAATTTAGGAAATATTTACATGCATAACACAATACTCTGACAGAAGGAGGACAACCATCTGAGGAAAATTTTCACCGTCTATAAATGGGTCATTGTTCTGTTTCAAACATGGCAATGGAGGTCAATATTCTATCAAACTCAATCTTTGAATCTTTCACTAGGCAAAGCCATTATCCACATGTTCAATGTTCCCTTATTTTTATATCTTCTTAATTAAAAGCCTACTACCAGCTTATACAGAAAGATGTGTGGTATTTTCCTGTAGGTTTGGCTGGTTGGGTTTTTCAACAGACACCTTTGTTAGGTTTATAAGCAACCTTCTCTGGACCTTATACTTTTATTTAATCCTCTCTGGTTATCCCATTAGCACTGACATTATCAACTTTCTAAAACATGTAACAACTAAATAACTGTACAGAAACACAAATCCTCTGGTTTGTAAAGATTAACACAAAATTCAGGTAGCAAATAATTAAACCTACAGCAGATTTCAAAATAGTTTCCAAGCCACTCCATCCGTGTTTAGAAATACTACTCCCCATCTTCATCTTTAGGACTAAAAGATGTACAAATGAAAACTTTGTTACAGCACGTGAAGGAACTAGATTGTAGGGACACATGAAAGGAAACTAGGATACACTAAACTAGCAGGAAATATTGTAACCACACCCAAAA